AACAAGAGGCTGTTCTGGCCCAATTACTTACTCCCCCGTCCTGGAGAAACCCCTTATAAAACCCAAGGGTCTCCCCTTTGCTCTTGTGGACACTTTCTTCAGTGTCCACTTATCTGCATCCAGATGCTCAAAATAAACAGCATTTTGCTACACATGAGTCTTCCTGTGTCTTTCTTTCAGCTCTGGACCCAAAAATCTCTACAAAAAAACAGAATAATTATCCAGGTGTGGTGGCATGAGCATTGTAGTCCAGCTACTTAGAAGCTGAGGGAGAGGAATCACTAGAGCTGGGGAGTTCGAAGTTGCAGTGAGCTCTGATGATGCTACTTCACTCTAGCCCAGCAACAGTAACACCCTATCTTAAAAAAATGAAGAAAGAAAAAAGAGAAAGAAGACAGACAGAAAGTAAATAACAAATGAACAGACTTGCAATATCTCATTCATCTAAAACATGTAATTTTTTGGTGCAAATGGTTACAAAAATAGACATGAAGATGTAGTTTCTGGTTACAAAAGTAACTTTGGCTTAAATTATTTAAAGACTGAATTAAATTGAAAGAATAAAAGAAAAAATTTAAATAAACAGTGACTACAGAAAATTACAGAAAGAAAGAGAATAGAAAGATTGTAAGGTTATAAAAGATGGATACAAATCTTACTTTGTGTGGTCAAAGCTGATTGAGGTTGGATAAATTTGTTTATAACATTTCATTAAAATGAACTTGAATATTAATAATACAATAATACCAGAATGAAATTTGGCTTTTGCATTTTAACAAGATTTTCATCAAATATGAATAGGGGATAATAAAAAAACTTTGGTTCACCTTTTTAAGTAAACTGTAAGAAAAAGAAAATGGGACAATGCCAGGTGCAATGGCTGACACCTGTAATCCTAGAACTCTGGGAGGGTGAGGTGGGAGGATCGCTTGAGTTCAGGAGTTTAAGACCAGCCTAGCAAGAGTGAGACCCTATCTCTACTAAAAACAGAAAAAAGAAAGAAATAGAAAATAGAAAAAAAATAGTAAAAATACAAAAATAGAAAATACAGGTTTTACCCTGTAGCCCCAGCTCCTCAGGAGGCTGAAGCAGAAGAATTGCTTCAGCCCAGGAGTTTGTGATTGCTATCAGCTAGGCTGATACCATGGCAGTCTAGCCCAAGCAACAGGAGACTCTGTCTCACTTTGTTGATTGTGCTTGAACTATGACCCTTTACCTTATGAGCTTCACAGAGACTGAGAAACTCCTTTCACCTGTAAAATAATTCAGTCTATTTGCAACATATGGCAGACATTTCAGCATTTCCATTGCACACACCACCATCAATCTTCCATACTGGTGGAATATATAAATGGGGTAATACAAAAATCAACTGAGAAAGTTTACAGAAACTTTTAATTTAAAAACATTTAACTTATGTTCTAGCCCCTTTGTTAAACATCAACTTTCTTCCTTTAAAATAAGATTAGGGCCCAGGCAAGGTTGCTCAAGCCTGTAATCCTAGCACTCTGGGAGGCCGAGGCGGGCGGATTGCTAGAGGTCGGGAGTTTGAAACCAGCCTGAGTGAGACCCATCTCTACTAAAAATAGAAAGAAATTAATTGACCAACTAAAAATATATATACAAAAAAATTAGCCGAGCATGGTGGTACATGCCTGTAGTCCCAGCTACTTGGGAGACTGAGCTAGTAGGATTTCGAGCCAGGAGGTTAAGGTTGCTGTGAGCTAGGCTGATGGCTGGGCAACAAGGTGAGACTCTGTCTCAAAAAATAAATTAATTTAAATAAAATAAGATTAGGAAGGCCCATGGACATGCATTAAGTAGCATACAAAGCAGATTTCCTTAAAGGTAATATATTTTATTACTGCCAAGGCCTTGTAAAACTTCTCACTAAAAATTTGACATTAAACATTAATATTTTAATTAAACATTCTTTTAACATCAAGCTCCCAGGACATGTTGACACTAAAGATCATGACCTCCACCCTAAAAAGTATATTTATTGAAAATACCATTAAAAAAATTCTCATCTAATCTTGTGAAGGGAATCATGGGAGGTATCGTTGACCAGTCCCTGTGCTGCTAAATTGAAGATCAATGTCTCTTATAATAATTCACACTTCTAAACTGCCTATAAATTGAGCATTCCCATAACTCCCTTCTCAACGCTACTAATTTGATAACTACTCATGGAACTCAGCAAAACACTTTAATTACACTTTCCAGTTTATTAGAATTGGTACATGCAGAATGCCAATGGAAGAGATGTGTAGTGCAAGACAAAGTGGTGGGCAAGATGGCACTAGAAACTAATGCTGTGAATAGCTGTGATTAAGAAATCTCCTATCCTTTTTGTCATTAAGAGCAGCTCACAGCAAGAAACCCTTTATGTTATGACTTAGACGATGCTCCCTGTTTTACCTATCACAAAGCCAGACACAGACCCTAAAAATTCCCATTTTGGCTTCATAAACAATTAGATGAACAATTCTATATTTACTAGTCTAAACAGAATACTTGTTAACCAAATGCAACTTAAGTGTCTCTCCTTTTGCCTGGCCCCTGAACTGTAATCCCCCCTTCAGCCTTAATTAGTATATAACCCCACTCTCTGCCCCTCCTAAGAATAGTCTGAATTCAGGGTAAATCATTCTCTGATTTACCATATAATTTGCCACCTGACATCTTGACGTCTACCTCCAATGCTTTTTTTCTAATCTCATTTACTTTTTCCTATAAAAAAAAGGAAGCCCCTTTCTGCCTAACCTTTGAGATGCTTGCAGATCGTATATTTGGTGCTTCCCACAGTTGCAATACTCGTTCACAATCAAGTCACTTCTCACCTAAATCTGAAATTGTTATATTTTCCAATGTCTAAAAACAGTCCCAGGACAATAACAGTTGCACTCCCAGAAGGGGCATCACACCGTTTTCTGTCCCTTAACCAACCAAACCTTCCAGTGGGTCCCAGCTCCCAGCTTTCCAGGGGTCTGTAGCTTCTCTAAGCATAAAGGGCTCCTTCCATGGCTGGCACAAGTAGGCTAGAACACCTTCAATGACCTCCTTTGGCTCACTCAAGATTGGCCTCGGCTTGGAGTCCCTGGTCTCATGCCTCTGCTTCTCATTCAGGGTTATTCATTTCATTGTAAATAAAAGAATACCCAGTGTTTGAAGAATCTAGCAAAATTACTTAAACTCAGTGTATAGTTTTATAGAAGGGAGGACAATTCTGAAGGGAAAAATACTCAAACCACAATGTTTTTCCTCTGTTCTCACACCGCAGCAATCAACACAGATTTATGTGATCGAATGGGTACAAATTTCTCCCTCATAACAAACAAGTAATCAAATTTGCAGCTAAATGTCCTCAAATACAGCTCAATATGATACTATCTGACTGAAGATAGTGTCAAATCACACAGGTTTAGGATTCAACCCTCAAAACTATCCCCCCTTTCAGACACCACTTGCAGGTGCAGGACTCCAAATCTTCTAATAGCCTCAAGTAGGAGTTCCATGGCCTCCTCTGTATATGTGATTAATTTCCTAGACCAGCTCACAAAGCTCAGGAAAATACTTATTATATTCACTGGTTTATCATAAAGGATATCTTGAAAGATATAAACAAAAAGCCAGATGAGAAGCTACACAGGGCAAGGTATGGGGAAAAGGAGTGCACAGATTCAAGCCCTTAACAGGCTCCCCACTTCGAGGAACCACCACCTGTTCAGCTATCTAGAAGTTCTCCAAACACTGTCCTTGGGGTTTTCATAGAAGCTTCATTTATAAGCATGATTAGTTTATCTAGTCATTTACTTAGTTTATAAGTCATTTACAATCCACTTAACCTTCAGCCCCTCCCTGCTCCCCAAAGGTTGGGAGTGGGACTGAAAATTCCATCCCTCTAAGTAAATGGCTGGTTTACCGGGCAAGCAGTCTCCCACCCAGGGGTTTCTGTGAGTTTTGCATAAATTGTCTCATTAACATAAGCTCAGATGTGTTTGATCCACTAATTGTAAACAACAAAAGACTGTCTTTCACCTTTACCATTCATTTGTTTCTATTTCGATTCCTAGGTATACTTGCCAAAGCAAAGCCCTGAAATTCTATTAAAAATCACCGCAAATAAGCAACAGACCTGAGAGATCTAATACACTCAATCTGGGGAAGAAAACAGGTACGTAAACAGGTTTTTTAAATGCAATGCAATAGTTTTTCTGAAATCTACTTTTTTCAACTCTTTTTTATGACGATATAACGACTACAAAACTGTGACCACTCAATTCTTGAATTTGGTTTGCTGTCTCCTGCACGTTGTAAAAGTATTTGTGTCAAGACTCCTGGTGGACCCCAAAAACAAACTGTGGAAGACTGCTCTCTGATTCATAAATCATGGTTTGCTTTAATAAACTCTAGCATGTTTTCGAGCGGTGCCTTTGTTTAATTTTTAACACGAGAGCGGAGTGGCGGGGCCGCAGGGCCAACAGCCCCTCCTACGCATGAACCCCGCACCCCAGTCGAAATCCTCCCTGATGAGTCTGCCGTGGTCGCGCACAACGTAGGGAGACGCGGGGCTGCACCACGGATCCACCCGGACGCTCCCACGGGACACAGATGCCCGGGAGGATGAGACAGGACGCCACTCACCACTTTCCGACTTCCGTGGTGCCCAGGGATCCTTCCTGCAGACGTTTCAGAAACCGCAGGTCAGAGGCTGACAAAGGATGAGGGTTACCTGAGTTTCCCAAAACGAAGAAGGAGCACTAAAGACAAATGGGAGCGTGGAGGACCGGCAGCAGACAAAGGGCAGGCCAGGTCCCGGAAGTCCCACCACTGGATCCGGCTGCGGCCCAACCCCGCTGTCAGCCACAGGGACTGCGGGCCAAGCCGGCCTGGTGCGTCCGTTCTGCAAACGCCGGTCAGTCCGGGAGGCCCAGGTCCTGCCCCAGCCAGTTCCGCTGGGTTTCAAACGCCCTAGCACAGCCGCCCCGCACACTCACCATTTTCTGACTTCCGTGGTGCCCAGGGATCCTTCCTGCAGACGTTTCAGAAACCGCAGGTCAGAGGCTGACAAAGGCTGAGGGTTACCAGAGTTTCCCAAAGCGAAGAAGGAGCACTAAAGACAAATGGGAGCGTGGAGGACCGGCAGCAGACAAAGGGCAGGCCAGGTCCCGGAAGTCCCACCACTGGTTCCGGCTGCGGCCCAACCCCGCTGTCAGCCACAGGGACTGCGGGCCAAGCCGGCCTGGTGCGTCCGTTCTGCAAACGCCGGTCAGTCCGGGAGGCCCAGGTCCTGCCCCAGCCAGTTCCGCTGGGTTTCAAACGCCCTAGCACAGCCGCCCCGCACACTCACCATTTTCTGACTTCCGTGGTGCCCAGGGATCCTTCCTGCAGACGTTTCAGAACCCGCAGGTCGGAGGGTGACAAAGGCTGAGGGTTACCTAAGTTTCCTGAAGCAAAGGAGCACTAAAGACAAACCGGAGCGTGGAGGACCGCAGGAGACAACGGTCAGGCCAGGTCCCGGAAGTCCCGCCCTCCCTCTGCGTGCCTGATTGGACAGTTCCAGTCCCAGGATTTCTGATTGGGTAGGGCTCCTGGCCACACCCTTTAGGGCCCTGACAGACATAGGTGATCCCACCTGCTAATGGCGACAACCAGGGCTTGCTTTCTGCACTGAGACTTGGGGCTGCCTGGAGGACGTTGGCATTTAACCTGTTGGGAGTCGACTACTTCTCACCACCCCACCCAACAGAGAGACAGAGACACCGAGGATGCAAACAATCAAGAGGAGTTTATTTTCTGGCTAGCCAGGGTCCAAGCCTTGAGCACCAACGCAGTGGTCACTCTAGTAGGCAAGGACCCCGACCAGGGTTGCAGCGTGCCTTTTATC